GATTTGGAATGGTTCCATTGGCTGACCTGTAAGTTTCTTGCTAACTCTGTAATTAAATATTTTATTTACCTGGTTATATTGGAAATGATTCATCACTTCAGCATGTATTTCGGCAGCTATTTCTGTGTAGTATTAATTTAGGTGGCTGAAGTCTGAGTAAAATTACATATCCTTGATCCTATAGGATATTTGTATATGTTCTGCAATTTATGAAAATCTTCTTTTCATCCTCTTCCCAGTTTCAATCACAAGACTGATTGTGAACACGTGCATTTCACGTCTGCATCAGATGACTCAGACTCAGATGGTGAAGATGATGATAATCAAAGCGATGCTTCTGTTGATGATGAATCGACTATAGAAAATCCCACAAGTAGTCCTCCAGGTTATATATCCACAAACATATGCATGTTTATATCTCTTATCTAGATTTGTAATTGACTAATGGACAGCTTCACTCATTATTTTTATACTTTTGCATTTATTGTAAAGGTTCAAGAGCTAACGGTGAAGATTTGGAAATGATTATTGTTAGAGATGTCAATGAAAGGGAGGAGGTAATTCTCTGTTGCCATCATTCCATTGATTAGAGGCTGAGGTGCAAAGGTTCACTAGCTGTACTTATACTCAATCTCTGTTGTTCTTCCGACTAGTAATGTGTCTGTGTTTCTTTTCATCTTCTATTCTAGGTGTATAATACATATGGAACGATGGGGAATGCTGCTTTGCTTCATAGATATGGTTTCACAGAACTTGACAATCAATACGACATTGTCAACATTGATTTAGCATTGGTTACTAAGTGGTGCACATCCATATTCTCCGGTCGACATACAAGAGCAAGGGTATCGCTATGGCGCAATTTGGGTTACTCTGGTTGCACTAGCCAAGATACTGAGTACTTTGAGATTGCATATGATGGAGAGCCCCAGCTTGAACTCTTAATCCTCCTTTATATCATCAATTTGAAACCTGATGTTTATGACAAGTTGATCTGCGTGGCTCATGATTTCGTTAGTGACGAAGAGCATGCTACTATTTGTAGCGTGGTCAAGTTTATCAAAACAACAAGTTCCAACCAAAATTTTGAAGTCAATGGCCTTGAGAAACTGCCTGATGTGAAGAAGTTATTGCACAGTGAGAGCATTTGTTCGACACTTCTATCACTCACTGACATGAGGGAGAGTCTCTATGGTTCAAGCACTTTGGAAGATGACGAGAAAGAACTTCAAGCATGCTGCATTGTCAACGAAAGGAAGCTCTATCATTCTCTGGTTCTGCGGGTGAGCGAGAGAAGGATACTTCATAGATTGAGGAAATTTGCCTCTAGTGGGTCAAAGGCCAAGAAGAGGAAGCATCCCTAGTGTTTAAGCCATATTCTGCGAATCATGTTTTATGTTCCTGGACACCACGCAGCTTGTAACGTTTGCCTTTTATGATGACTAGACAGTGTTTTTGACCAATTAAGATATGATTAGTTAGATGATGAGGCGAGGTACTAAAAGTGTGGATGCGTGTCCACGAGCCATTTCATGATTTATACCGTTTTACATGTAATCCCTGATAGCTTTCTGCAATTTTGCTGCTCTTGTAATGGAGTAACATTTTTTAGGAACATACGGGCATGCTTTGTTTCCTTTAGGAGATTAGATACTTGAGATTTATGACGTGGGAGACATTATGTGTTGATTTGCGTGTGTATTTTGTCTGCCAGTAATGTAAACTTTCTGAAGAGGTTACATAAATCACAAGCTGGATTCAGAGAAGTTAAGTTTTCAAACAAATGGTAATGTAAACTTTCTGGAGAGGTTACGTAAATGGGTCTTTTACTTGTATGCCATTAAAAAAGATGGTCTAATCGTCTATGTCCCTAAAAAGTTCGATCTATCGTCAGTGTCCAAGCTCAAAAACTTTTCTCTCTCACGCCATTCTATCTATTTGCAGCACTAACGGTGTGAAATATGGGTGGCAAATGACTTGAATACCCCTGGAACTTTTGTTTCTCATGTGCCACTGCCTGTTGGGAGCCATCTGTGTGGTAAATTGTCTGAGCTTGAGCGGTGAACCTTTACGGTACCAGTACATGCGTGCACAAATTGCAACGACTTTTAATCTGACACAACATTAGCGGATGGATACAAACAGAGATACTGGCTACGGAGTAGTAGTAGTACGTACTACACAAGCCTAAACTGTACGAAATGTTTAGAGATGTACAGTAGTTACCCGTAGCATTGTACAGAGAAACCAGAGACATTTGGCCGTGTACGTCAGCAAGCAATGCCAATCAATCAAAGTCAAACACACAATTCGCAGTCGGAGTACAGTCTAAGGCATGGTGGCGCGCTTTGACTCAGCGGAGCAAATCATCGACTACTAGTGCAAAATAGCTACGGCTTGCTCTTGTCGATCACCCACCGGACGACGGAGTTCAGCATCCGTCTCGTCCGCGGCATCCCCAAGATCCGCTCGCAAGCCGCACGCCTCCCTCCCGGCGCCCGCTTCCGTCTTTGCATGGCACGCTCGCGACTGATGAGCACGTTCGCGACAGATGAAACGCCGGTCTCGGCTAACGAACGACCGAAGCGGCGGCAACAGCAGGCCCCATCGTTGGCGTGGCGGAAGGATAGGCGAATACTTACGTCTCTGTTTGGTTTGGAGCAGCGAGCCGAGGGCGTGGTAGGCATTGCGATCCATCACCAACTCTCGGAGCCGCTTTCGGCGGCGAAGCGCAAGAACGCTTCGAGCCCGCGCTGCAACGGAGGCACCGGAGACGGACTAGCGCGGGGCCGAAAGCACGCCTGTACCACGAAGTGCCCGTATGTGTCCGTGGACCACGCCACGAGATCGTCCACGATGAGCGCCCTGATGCGGTCCTCGAGCTGATCGTGGTGGCCTCTCTTGAAGAGTTCCTGCAAGAAGACGCTGCTGCGGCATGCGAATGCCGGCCGGAAGGAGGTTTCCCGGCCCGCCCGTTAGTTTCTCCAGATTGAGAACGAACGTTAGGAGCGACGATCGAGAAGAACCACGCGATGAATGAACTCATGTTGTAATGGTATATGCTTAGCTCTCACCCGTATTGTTTCTTGGAGATCTCAACGGCATGGGTCAAGATGGTGTCCTCGAGATCAATGCCGAGCTCATGCTTCGTCGCGTTCTCCAGGCATAGCATCACGCTCATCCCCCCGAAATAGGACGTGGCCATGTCGCGGAAGCGGGGGACGGCGAGCTCACGGGTGAAAATCTAAACGGAAGTTCATCAGAAAAACGCCATCATCGAGTAAATACGTATGTCGTCCTCCGTATTGTTGTGGGTAGCTACATTATATACTGAGCAACAACATGAAGGCAACGTGGCGACGAAATGCTCGAGCGCCCGTGCCCTTACTCTGCTCCATCATCCATCCCTCGATTAGGCACCGAATAGCTGCTGCGATGCCGGGAAGTTCCGCGCCGCCACCCTGACGAGCACCCTCGGCTGTCTCCACCGCACGTGCAAAAGCAAAACAACAACAAAGCAAACACACACAGATGAGCTCGAGCTCGCCGTTGTCTTGATCGGCGTGAAGGCCAACCAATCCGAGCTCGCGGGTTCGCCGCAAGGGGCGGGTTCGTCTCGACATCCTGAAGCGCCGACGGTTTGGGCGCCAGTACTGGGCCCGACGCAAGACACCGATCACACCGGCGGAGGTGTTCGGTCGTTGCTTGGTGGAGTTGCCGCCCGCTGCGCGGCGGCCGGGCGGCGGCGAATAATCGCAGACTGCCGCTGCCGCCCAGGGACGATAGACGGAGGCGTGCGGGTTGAAGACGCCGTCGTACCCGAGCGCGGAGAAGAGAGCGGCGGCGAGCCATCTTTGAGGCGTGTCTCGCCTCTGGTCATGCTGATGAAGTTCGGCGTCGGCGACGGGTGCGGCGGCACCGAGGTTTGGGTGCCGGGCATGGGGAAGTTGAGGAGCGCGTCGTAGCTCGAGATGTTGCCGTCGGTAGGGATGCCGACGCGCGTGGAGCTCTAGTCCCCGATGTCGCCACCCTGATGCGGCCGTGGGTTCATCTGCGCACGCCGCGCGTGGCTCGCTCCTGTAGCGCAGAGGCTGCGCCAGTATCCGCCGCCACGAGGAGGAGGAGGTCGAAACTACTATTTGGGTTGTAGTAGGCGCCCATGGAAGGGGTCGCGCCCCGCTGGTCGGATCCATGGCGGTGGACGAGCGGGAGGCGCCGAGCTGGATAGCGCTTGGATTTCGTTGCGGCGCCTGAAACGCAAGGGCCGTTGGGGGTGTGGTGCCGCGGTGGTGGCGCTTATATAGAGGTAGCGGCTCTCGGGAGTCATGACGCCTGGACGGCTGGACCGCCCGACGGCAAAGGCAGGTGCCCGCTGGCCCCTTGGCCCCTTCCCGGTTCAAGAGCCATCAGGTTGCCGCCCAGCAGGCAGTGGCACATGAGGAACAAAAGTTTCAGGGGCATTCAAGTCATTTGCCACCCACATTTCACACTGTTAGTGCTGTAAATAGACAGAATGACGTAAGAGAGAAAAGTTTTTCGAGCTTAGACACTGACGATAGATCGAACTTTTTAGGGACATAGACGATTAGACCATCTTTTTTAATAGCATACAAGTAAAAGACCCTACATAAATCACTCGCTGGATTCAGATAAGTTCAGTTTTCAAACAAATGTGATTAGGAGACGAAGAAACAATGTTGGACAAAGGGAAGCCTCTATTGATGCTTGTTTAATGGTAAAATAAGAGATGACAAGATGCAATTTGCTGTCATGGCATAAACGGCAGAGTATGGCCATACCCAATTATCAATACAGTTCTCTGAAATACACTTTTTTTTTTCAAGAGAAGTTACAGACACACGCACATGTACACGCCAAAAAAAAAAAGATGTATCAATGAAGTATGTTTAGGATGCCTGTTTTGTACAAAAGCTTGAGGAACAAGCGATTAGAATCCTCAAGAAAGTTTCTGAACGATCTATCAATTAAAGTATAGCTAGCTATCTTATGTACTCAGCTCCGCTTGCAATCTTCCAATCTTCTGGGAGGCGCCATTTCTTGTGCCAATAAATTGATACCCTTGACCACAAAGGGAATCCAAAACTGTAGTCTAAAGGTTCATCTGCCCGCCCTCCAACGAAAAGTGGAAGCCAAACATACCGGGAGTCTCTCAAGTTTGACGGACTCCACCTATCCGCCATGAAGATAAATGTACCAGGCAAACCAGGGAGGGGAAGCACAAATGTGCTTTGAGATAAGAATGTTGTAAGGCGGTAAAACCTGTTGCCTCCAACGCAAGGGTTTCCCAGTGTCTCCCATGGGCCCATGATAGACTCTGCAGCATGTGCCAATGCCCTGTTGGGAGCCCAGCCTGAGCAACCAGAGGTGATCATGTAGTAGGTCCCTTGGTGCTTGAAGACAGCCGGAGCCTCACGATGTCGCCTTATTAGTATTCTCTTCATTGCTGCTGTGATCTGAATATAGTCCTCTGTCAATGGGCTAACGTGGAACTCAGTATTATCACGAGAAGAATAGAAGAGGTAAGCCATTCCATCATCATCTTTGAAGACTGTCATGTCTCTACTCTCAAAACCATGTGGACGAAAGCTGTAAAGGTAAGTAAAAGGTCTAGTCGGAGAGTTGCTCACGGCCACACCAACAGATGCTTTGGTGTAGTTAGTATCATCGATGTGCATCCACATGATATATTTTTCAGTGCGATCATTATATATCACCTTAGGTCTCTCAAGCACCTTTGATTTATGAAGGTCGTGGGTGACATTAGTAGGTTCACCAGGAAGCACAATTCCTTCATGAGTCCACGACCACAGGTCTTTCGATGAGTAGCAGCTTACCCCAATGATGTCAACCTGGTAAATTGGAACACACAACCAATCATCACTACATGTCTATCTACTAACCTTCTCCAAAGTAATGCTAAATCTCTTTAGATCTGTCAACTCGTGTCTAAAATACTGCTTATTCTATGCAGTTTTTTTTTTCCTGCTGCTCTTTTATTCCACTTGTGTCTAACTAAATAAATGTTAGCGTGTTCATCATTCAGCATTTTTTTCTTGGAATAGTTGAAGGGCAACAAATGACCTATTTGTAACTAGATGGAAAACTACTGATTAGCAAAAAACTAAAAGTAACATAAATACAACTGCGGTGAATCTTTATGGCTGACAACAAATGCTAGCACAAAAATAAACCAGAGGTATGTTGGAATATCTACTCACCCTCTGTGTTCCTTTGGGGCGAGCTTGGTATGTTGGTCCATCTTTGTTTTCTCCATACCAATAGAATTTGGCAGTCTTGTGATCATACATAATCCCACCACCATGGGCTTGAATGGCGTTTCCATCAGTGTCCAGCCACACTCTACCAGGATAAAAATGCATGCTATCATTTCCCCCCTTTGTTGGATCCACAGCAGTCCTTTGATCAGGGAAGAACAATGCATGTACTGCTGAAGACTCCTCCAGATAATCATCTACAACCTTTGGTAGTTTACGAGGTCCCCTCCTTTTCACTGCACGAGGATTCACCTTGTGAGGAGGTGGCAAGCGGAAATGATCCTCCTCGATGTCCTCTAATTCTCTGGTCGCATGTAGAGGACTGAAATAAACATGGGTCTGCCCACTGTCTGCTTGATGTTTAAGGGAAAGGAAGCAGACAACAAGACCAAAACCCACCAAGCTCCATATAATACAAGATAAAGAAGATCCATATCCTGCATCAGAACCGAGGGCAGATGATTTTCTCTGTTTGTTCCTCATCTTCTTTCTCCCCTTACTAATCTTCATAAGATAACTGCAGTAATAAATCCACTATGGTTTTAATCCATATGAAAATGCCATACAAAGTGATTCAAAATAAACGAATAAATATAACAGGAGCATCACCAATATTGGGAGAAATTATCATGGGAAGAATTTGGAATACAAGAGTGAGGAAGTTATTTGACATCTGAAACAAATACAGTGAAATTCTGGCTAGCTGCCAAACAATAACGACAGACTAGTTTACCTGCACAAAAATAGCCACTCCCTGCCCCCACCCAAAAAAATGATATTGTGATAGAAAGAAACTAAGACATGGAGTTGTATTGGAGGCACATTTATCAACACTAACAAAACATACATATTATTTGATACTGTACTGCATAACAGCTTTCCTGCTAGATTGAACACTCCACACTAGTTTTCTTGTAATTCTATTAACTGGTATTGATGTGAGGTCTGGTTGACGATGCACATAGCCCAAAACTAGATAAAAAATCCGTTCCTGACTTCTTATTATCCCTTTTTTTTCCTTTGATAAGTTAAGTATTCAATGAGTTTCACAAAGCTGCTTTACCATACTGCTTGGAAGTTGGAACAGGAATGCAAAACAGAGAGTAACTGAATTAGGTTATCAATAATCATAACTGCACAGCAGTTAAACAGACTCAGCTAGTTCACTGCGAGTGATTGTCGCAGTTTAACTCCAAGTGTGACAAACATATGGTTCGCATATAACCATGATATAATTTTCACACCCAAAACTAACTAGATTATGGGCACGCTCTCTTTTCCGTTTGCAGTTATACACAAGTGAAAAACAAAAACGGGTAAACAGTACATACCTAACAGGCGGACCATCCCGGTCCAAGATCTTGCAAGTTAGTCCTACCGGTGCATGATCTGCGCACGCGCCGCCGCCCGCCCGCCTTCAAACACAGCGCCAAACCAAACGCCAAAGGCCAGCATTAGTATTGAGAAAGTATTGAGAAAGGCTTCCAGGCCAAACAACCCACGTAATCGACCGTGAGGGCGAGAGGCGGTGTCGGTGAGCGGCAAAGCGCTCCCTCATCTCATTTCCCCCGATCCTTGCACCGGCGTAGACGAGGTGTGCCTTACCTTGGGCTTGGCGCAGGGGTGCGGGAAACGCCGTGCGACGGATCTGACGCACGGCGAGCGGGGCGGGGGCGGGGCTCGGAGTGGAGAAGCAGGTGAAGCCGTGAAGACGAAGGATAGGGGTTGACCCAATGACCCGGCCAAAGATGTCGGGAGAACGGCCGCCCAGGCGCCCGGCCGTGTTTTAGAACCGAGACGGGGTATGTCCGCCGTCCGCGAGCGAGGGGCGAGGACACAAGTCCACAGCAGCCGCCAGCCCCGGTAGGGCGGGTAGGCTTGCAGGCGGGGAGGCCGGGAGGGTACACACACCTCGCGTTTAGACTGATTATATATACAGTATATTAAAAAATATATTATTTTCTCATTTCCGAACTATAAGCCACTTTAATTCTTTTATACACCGATTTTGTTATGTCTGCACATTAATTATATCTAGATACATAGCAAATTTGATGTACCAAAAATATTAAAACAACTTATAATTTAGAAAATAATCATTATTATGACAAATACTCCCTATGCCCCTAAATAATCGTAGTTCTAACTACGAACCTGGACAAACACTTGTCCAAGTCCATAGCTAAAACTATAATCTTTTGGGGACGAAGAGAGAGTAAGTATTATTAGATTAATCATATGTATACTTTCATAATAGATTCATTTAGAGATTTAAATGTTGATGCTAGTTTTATAAATCTAGCTAGATTTATAATTAGTTGACTTCTCAAAATACGAGATGAGCAATTGTTTTATGATGGAAGGAGTAATTGTGTAATTGTTTTATGGGTTGGATCAACTTTAAATGTCTCTTTATATCATTCCTAATTTATATCAATAGAGATTTTAGTGAAAAAACCCTTCAACAACTCCTTTAATTAGATCTCTAAATATAGTTATCCTCTATTATGGATTTCTCGCTAACTAAATATAGAGAGCGAGATTGGCTCTCTAGAGTCTAGAGTGTGCACAAGACATGGAGAAGCTATTTAGAAATTGAGTTTAAGAAAAAACACTTAAAAATGCTCTTAGATCAGCTCCCAAACCCATAAAACTCTACTATCTTCCCAAGTAACCACAAGCCAACAGATTTTAAAACCTCACCGTGAAGGTGCCATTATAGTATAAAGGATTAACTTACTTTAATGGTTTTTTTTTGCATAAGTAAGAATTTTACCTCCTCACGTTAGGTGTTTTTATCAGGTCGTTTGAGTTGTGTCAGAGGAGGCAAGATCACCTACCCATAGATGTAGGGTCGAGATGACGGACTAGAGAGGGATGAATAGTCATTTCTAAAAATAATTACGGCAGCTAACCGAAATAAATACGAAATTAAAACTATCGGTCTAGTCAAGACTACACCCCTCTATCTAAATTTTAAGCACCTTACAAAAATCCTAAATAGGCAACAAAGGTACCGGGCTAGCTAGAGTTCACCTAACAATTCTAACTTGTAAGGTCACACAAACATATGCAACTAGTACTTTAAGCAACCGGGGAGCTCCTACACAACTAGTGATGCAAAGCACACAAAGCCCCTAAGCTCACTAGCAATGCTTAATAACAAGGCTACACAAGTCAAATTATAGAGCGCAAATTACTTAGCTACACAAACTAAGCACTGTAACTGACAAGGCTACTCAAGTCAAATTAGTTACACAAGGAAACTACTTCTATGCTACACAAGCAAGAAGGTAACTAGCAAGCTACACAATCTAACTAATTATAAGAGCAACTACACAAGCGCAATGTATATAAAAATAATTACAAGCTTGTATAAGGGGAATACAAACCAACGAGAAGACACGGATGACACGGTAATTTTTATCACGAGGTTCACTTGGTTGCCACCAAACAAGTTTCCGTTAAGACAAGCTCTAAGGTTGTCGTCGGTCCTCTTGCTAGTGGTGACCCGCAAGTATGGATGAAAACGGTACGGATATTTATTCGACCGTCCGTTCGACCGAACAAATATGAACACTTATTCGGATAGTTACTCGGATATCCGGGTTTTTTTCGGATACGGATACTAAAACGGATATCTTAGGCGGATATCAAATACGGATGCAATATCATCGATATCCGGCGGATATCGGATAATCCGGATAAGTATCGGATATATCCGGATATTTAAAAACGGATATTATCCGGATATTTATTCAAAATTTAAAAATCACAAATTTGAACCATCCAAACTATCTCAAATGGAAAGTTGACCAAAACAACAATTGTAGATCTTGATGAGTTGAACAAACTTGGTATTCAAAACTTTTCAATTTGAAGTCATTTAGAGTTCATAATACTAGAGTCAAAGTGTTGTTTTTTTCATTTGACCAAATTTGACTTGGTCAAACTTGCTCAAATGAGACACTAAATGACCTCAGATGAAAAAACTTTGAATACCAAGTTTGATCATCTCAGCAAGATCTACAATTGTTACATAGCTCATTTTTCCATTTGAGAAAGTTTTATCAAACACTAGTCATAAATTCTTGAATCTCATATAGACTTTCTGAAACTATGTCACACACTTGTGAAATTTGAACTATATTTTGTTCAAACTTTCTCAAATGAAAAAATAGCCTATATAAGGATTGTAGATCTTGATGAGCTGAACAAACTTGGTATTCAAAACTTTTCAATTTGAGACAATCTAGGGTTCCGAAAACTAGTTTGTAAGCATCGAAATTTAAAAATCACAAATTTGAACCATCCAAACTATCTCAAATGGAAAGTTGACCAAAACAAGAATTGTAGATCTTGATGAGTTGAACAAACTTGGTATTCAAAACTTTTCAATTTGAAGTCATTTAGAGTTCATAATACTAGAGTCAAAGTGTTGTTTTTTCATTTGACCAAATTTGACTTGGTCAAACTTGCTCAAATGAGACACTAAATGACCTCAGATGAAAAAACTCTGAATACCAAGTTTGATCATCTCAGCAAGATCTACAATTGTTACATAGCTCATTTTTCCATTTGAGAAAGTTTTATCAAACACTAGTCATAAATTCTTGAATCTCATATAGACTTTCTGAAACTATGTCACACACTTGTGAAATTTGAACTATATTTTGTTCAAACTTTCTCAAATGAAAAAATAGCCTATATAAGGATTGTAGATCTTGATGAGCTGAACAAACTTGGTATTCAAAACTTTTCAATTTGAGACAATCTAGGGTTCCGAAAACTAGTTTGTAAGCATCGAAATTTAAAAATCACAAATTTGAACCATCCAAACTATCTCAAATGGAAAGTTGACCAAAACAAGAATTGTAGATCTTGATGAGTTGAACAAACTTGGTATTCAAAACTTTTCAATTTGAAGTCATTTAGAGTTCATAATACTAGAGTCAAAGTGTTGTTTTTTCATTTGACCAAATTTGACTTGGTCAAACTTGCTCAAATGAGACACTAAATGACCTCAGATGAAAAAACTCTGAATACCAAGTTTGATCATCTCAGCAAGATATACAATTGTTACATAGCTCATTTTCCCATTTGAGAAAGTTTTATCAAACACTAGTCACAAATTCTTAAATCTCATACAGACTTTCTAAAACTATGTCACACACTTGTGAAATTTGAACTACATTTTGTTCAAACTTTCTCAAAATGAAAAAAATGGCCTATATAAGGATTGTAGATCTTGAATCCATGACCATGACTCCATGAGACCCATGAAGCAATGTGCTTGGCTATTTCTACTCATGCCGCGAAGATTGGTGCTTATATGATGTTTGATGTATGATGTATCTGTATCTTTATCTTATTTGTTGCTTTACTCTTTAGTCTTTCGGCTTAATCTAGATGGATTATGGACTCATAGAGTGGTGTAATGGTTTATGCATCGTGATGATATATATATACTTGCTTTTACTCAA